TCGGTAAGAAGGTTGGTTTCTATTTACGCTGACCGCATTTCAGTGGTTGCAAAACGTAGAAAAATAGCATACGGTTACGGCACCCCTTCAAAAAGCCCAAGTGGTTAAAATGATTTCCGATGTCCCCACTAAGGCTCATGTCATAATCATACTGCAGTTTATAAATCTACAAGCTACGAGCTCGGCGGCCTTCTAGCCGCAGTGAAATTCGTTATGCAAAACTTCCCTGGTGAGTGGGCCATATTTTCGGCTCCAAGGCATCCCTTCAATTAGTGCGAAGTTTACGACGTGGAATGTATTATCAGTTAGTCTAAAAATCAATAAAACCAGCCATCGCACGACTAATCAAGGACACGACGTAGTCTTCAAATGGCTGTTGGGTTATTGAGGTAAAAACGTCGCTGACAACGCTGCTCGATGTGTTCATGACGGAGCGCCCACACTGCTTATATCCCGCAAGAGAACTTGGACACACCGTGTATAATGCCCAAGTTTACGCACTAGAATTTTTCATGGAACCTGATTTGTCGCCCACAGAACCTGGAATAATTATTCCAACTGTACCTGCAACGAAGACTTCGGGACGTGACGCAACAGTACTGCGTCGGTTGTGGGTCGGTGATGCCTCTACCAACTCACTCAGCTGTAGCATTGGTATGGCTGACTCACCCAACTGGGATAAGTACAACTGCGTAGAAACTCTTTACCACGTCCTGTGCCAGTGCCCCGACTTTGAATAAGACTACCGAACCCCACAGTGTGCCTTGAGGAGACTGAATGATAGTACCTTTACTCAGGAAAAGAGCACAGTCTCACAGCAAAACATCTTAGAAAGCCACGCCAACCCTTTTACAATACTTGAAGGCAACGTCACTGAGTGACGACCTGCGAAACCCTGCACTGTGTGTGTGGTGAGGAATGTGCACGTCTTTCTCTCTTTCTCTTTTGCTCCTTTATTCTTCGTTCCTCTCGTGTAGGGTAGCAAACTGGACATAGTCAACTAACCTCCATACAATTCTTATATTCATTCACTCTCTCTCTGTCATGAATGCTCAACCTTATAAATTATCTAAATTTGCTCACCTATACGTGATTAATACTGCACTTCTCTGAAGTTATTCATATTATAGCGACGCGGCCGACACCGCGCACCCCGTGGTCATAAAAACCTTTGGAGGAGCACTACAAGCAACGTGCTGCTCTCCTCTGTGTTTTTCCTTTGCCTCTTTCACTCTTGCCACTTTCGGTGCACTACGTGCACCTCCTCTATTTTCGACTCTCTGGTTGTCCGAATAAAGTAGACGATGTTACCGAAAGGACGTGTCCGTCTCGTACAACCTGGCTCTACAACAAAGTGGTGACCCGTAGTCTTTCGCGGCACGGCCGAATTATTGCAGAGTCATGCAGAGCAATGAGTCGCACCTAAACACGGACACCAATCATGACATCTCTGCGATCTCTCTCCGACTACCAGCTTACTGGGAGCGAAAATCTTCGATCTGGTTCACCCAAGCTCAGTCACAATTTGTGCTTTCTGGCCAATGCACGAAACAATGCAAGTACCATATCGTTGTTTCGGCGCTGTCACCTGCTGCTGCCGAAGAAGTATCTGACCTGTTTCTGCACTCCACTCCACCACATCGTACAGCACTCTCAAGGCTGCTCTGCTGGAGTGAACGAAGGCATCACAGCGTTCCCGCATACAGCAGTTGCTGTCTGCGGAGGAATTAGGCGACCGCCCACCCGGCCAGCTTCTTCGTCATATGCGCCAACTCATGTGCGGCTTCACCACCACTACTGACGAGAGCTTGTGGCGAGAACTGTTTCTGCAGCGCCTTCCTGGCAATGTGCAAATGGTACTAGTCACTGCATCCACGTTGGATGTCAACGATTTGGGCAGCCTGGCAGAGAAGGTCTTGGAGCTGGTTACGCCGTTTCTGTGCAACAAAACGCCGTCATTCAGCAACGTGAGTGCATCTCCACAAACATCATCTGACCCTGTTTTTCCCATCGACGCGCTTTGTGATCGCCTAGAACAACTGGTTTGTGCCATGTCACGGACCATTACACCACTCCACTTCACCGAAACCGCAGCCGAAGCTTTCCGCGTTATGAACGCGCACAATGCTCTCAGTCCCCCACACCACCTGGGATATGATATTACCATCGCCGTTTTGACAGGATGCGCGTAACTGCCTTCAACCTTGCTCATGGCAGGCAAACAGGCAGGCCGACTATTCACGGCGACGACTGGTCAAGCCCAACCCAAACGTCGCGTGTTTCACATCATGGGCAAAAGCACAGGCCAGATGTACCTGATGGACACTTATGCAGAGGCCAGCATTATTCCGGCTCAAAAATCCGACCGAACAATACCCCCCAGTCTCCTACCTGCAAGCTCTCAATGGTAGCAAGATTCGCGTATACAAATTGCAGTCGCTCACACTGAACCTAGGCTTGCGCCACGTGTTTCGATAGGTTTTCCTTGTCGCTGACGTATGCCATGGCCTCATTGGTGCCGACTTCTTAAACCACCGTGGACTGTTAGTCGACGTGAAACGGCAACGCCTGCTAGACACTACTACACTACTCCCTGTCTATGGTGTTGTTTCGCACGACTCGAACATAATCACCCCAACTACAACGGTGGCCGATGACCATTTCGCAGGACTTCTTCAAGAATTCCCAAACACCACGTAACCGCCTGACTGGAAAAAACCCATGAACATGATGTCCACCCCCATGTAATCACCACTGGTCAACCTGTTTTCGCTTGCCCATGGCGACTTGCTCGAGATAAGCTCAAAGTAGCCAGGGCAGAATTTGAACACATATTGGAAGTCTGAATAATACGACCATCATCGAGCATCTGGGGGTCTCCTCTCCACATTGTCACCAAAAAGTCAGGTGACTGGAGACCCTGCGGAAACTACCGTTTCCTGAACGCAAAAGCTATTCCTGACCTGCATGCCCTGCCTAACATTCAGGCTTTCGCATCGGTTCCACTGGCACATCAGTGTTCTCTAAAATCGACTTAGTCGAAGCCTTTCACCAAATTCCTGTTGCTGCAGAAGATGTTCAAAAGACCGCAATGACCACCCCATTTGGCCTGTTTGAGTTCCCGAGAAGGCCATTTGACCTCTGCAATGCTGCACAAACGTCCCAGTGGTTCATTGACACGATCATACGTGGTCTGCCGTTTGTGTTCGCCTACGTTGACGACCTGCTGGTGGCAAGCTCATCCCACGAGGAGCACTTGCAACATCTCCGTCAACTTTTCGAGCGCCTGTAAGCCAACAAAATCATTGTGAACACTGCAAAACTTGAATTCGGAGTGTCATCTCTTGATTTTCTGGTTCATCGCTTGGACAGCAGTGTAATGAGCCCATTTCCTGACAAAGTGCAAGCACTCATCGAGTTCCCCAAGCCTACATTAATAACCAAGCTGTGCCGATTTCTAAGGCTTGTAAATTTCTGCCACCAATTTATTAGGAACTGTGCTATGCTGTTGGAGCCCCTTGACAATTTGCTCTGTGGCGAACCCTCGGAAACTGCACTACCATGGAACACCGCTGCGGAAGAAGCTTTCCACTCCGTCAAGAACGTTTCGGCTGAAGCCACACTGCTGACGCACTACAATCCCAGTTACCCCTTTTCGCTCAAGACGGATGCATCCTGTTCTGCACTTGGGGCCGTACTCTAGCAAAAAGTGAACGATCAGTGGCAGCCTCTTGCCTTTTTCTTTAAGCGTATTACCTCTGCCTAAAGAAACTACATTGTTTTCGGCCGTGAGTTGCTCACCATATTTCTCGCCGTGCGCCATTTTCGACACCTACTTGAAGGCCGCTCTTTTACAATTTTCACTGATCACAAATTTTTCACCTATTCAATCGGCCAATCTGACTCACTATACACACTGCGCAAGGAGTGCCAGCTCGCCTTCATCTCGGAGTTTTAAACTGATATACACCACATCAGCAATGTTGACAAAGCCCCAGCTGACGCTCTTATTCGCGCGGATGCCAGCACCCACAGTCGCTCCAAAACCTCCACCTCAACATCCTTTCCATTCAAACTCCAGGATCTGGCTGCAGCCCAATCAAAAGACACTGAGCTTGAAGATCTACGCGAAGCGTCCACATAACTTCAGCTCGAATACGTCACTTTTGAAGATGTGCCAATTATCGGTGACACCTCCAAGGGCACCCCAGACCATTTCTAACCGACCCTTTCCGTAAGAAAATATTCGACGCCTATCGCAGCTTTTCTTACCCCGGAATTTGCGCTTCCCAAAAGCTTGTTTCTTCACGCTTTGTATGACCCGGCACGAACGCCAACATTAAGGATTGGGTTCATGAGTGTACATCGTGTCAGCGCGCTGAAGTGGAACGGTACCCCGTTCCCCCATCAAAGCCCATCTCACAACCCGGCGAACGTTTCGATGTTGTGCATATTGACACCATTGGCCCGTTACCCCCATGGCAATCGCTACCTTCTGACATGTGTAGATCGTTTCACCTGCTGGCCCGAAGTGACTCCTATGGCCGACTTGTCTGCAGCTATCGTGGCAGCGGGTTTCGTTTCTACCTGGATATCCCGATTTGGCTGTGCGACCACGATTGTATCAGACCGGGGTCACCAGTTCAAATCTTTCCTCTTTTCGGAGCTCCTGAAACATCTTGGTATTTCCCGGCTGCATACAGCGTCATACTATCCGCAAACAAACGGCCTCGTCGAGAGATTCCACAGGCACCTCAAAGCAGCAGGCGCAGCACACGGCTGCCCCGACAGGTTCGTTGACCACCTCCTGCTCACCCTACTCGGAATTCAATCTTATTTCAAGGAGGAACTCTCCTGCTCCACTTCCGAGCTTGTTTATGAAACTTCGCTTTACCTGCCTGCCGATTGCTTCGAAGAAAGCGGCAGTGCCACCCAGCTAACAGCAACAGAGTACGTCGAGCAGCTGCGTGGCGTCTCTCAATAGATTTGTCCGCAGCCTACACGCAGCCAGCCACGTGCAGCGTACATCGCTCAGGACCCAAAAACAGCGACACACGTGTTCGTGCGGTACAGCCCTGTGTTCACCGCGCTTCAACCCCACTACCTCAGCCCCTTCCGTTTGTTAGAGTGCTGGCCTGCTAACTTCGTCGTCGACATCAATGAGGCACGTGATACAATCGCGCTCGAGTGGCTCAAGCCAGCGTTCAGTGAATCTCCCCTGATCTTAATTTTCTGGCCATGCGGATTTTATTTTCTGGCCGTGCCTCCCTCCGCTGGATACGAGGGCCTCTCCTCGCCAGTGTTCCTCTCATCACCACCTCTGCGCCGCGTTCACTGGGATGACATTTCGCACCAGCTTCCTCTCTAAAGGGGGAGCAATCTGTAGCGACGCGGCTGCCACCCACGGTCATAAAATCCTGCAGAGCAGCATTCCAAGCAACGTGCAGCTCTCCTCTCTGTTTTTCATTCGTCTCTTTCACTCTTGCCGCTTCCGGTGCACTGCGTGCGCCTCCTTCATTTTCGACTATCTGGTTCTCATACTAATGTAGACATTGTTACCGAAAAGACATGTTCGTCTCGTAAACCTCGCTCTACAGTGTAACCATCAAAGTATTTGTCGAGATGTGGAGCTTTCATCATTAAGAGGGAATGAAATTAAGAGATTATTTGACTCCGCAATGCAACGTTGTGCTAAAGAACATTGGAGGGAAGCCTTAAGCGGTGCTAGGCCATTGCTTAACTAATGTTTTTGTCTTTGTCTTTTGTAGTGTGTGCTCTCTCCTCCCTATCTCTTTTTCTCTATCTTTAAACTCCCTCATCCCTGTTTCAAGTGCAGGTGAGCATACCCCTCGTTAAAAAAAATTGGTTAACATCCTTGACTCTCCTTTCCCACCTTTTCCGTCCTTGTCTCATCCAGCCTAGTTTAGAATTTCATGCTTGGCTATTGCTAAGTCATGTTAACAGATGTATAGGCTGTTGCTTAAGCTCTAGCAATGTTGAATTCAGCCTTGGTCATTCAAAGAACAAACTTCGAGTGGGCCAAGACAATTTCTAGACATGATCAATGTACTATACCATGCGTTAATATTCGTATACTGCCAGGACATTCCGGAATCACGCTGTTGCGTTGCCGTGCCTGTGCATTCTGCCCCAGTTCAGCCGAAACCGGGCGTTCTTTCCTGACATACGCGATATATTGGTAGGTAAGGCAGAAGTGCTGTCGAATAAAAAATAGTGAAAAAAAGACAGCGACTTTTGTTCGAAAGACACAGCGTCACTCAACGTATGGCCTCGATTATTTGTAGGCCCATCCTCACGCAGTTGTAGGCGTGGCTTGGCCTGGAGACCAGAAGACTCGACACACAATAGTAGCAGTCATCCAGGATCTTTATCCGCATACAGTGGTTCTCCTGAAAAAAAAATTGAACCTGCACTCTGATGTCCAGATTGGCGCGTTATTATACCAAGTGGAGCAATAAAACGTGCCTACTTGCTTACAAACAAGCGACCAAACAAGCAAACAAACAAAGAAAACTATTTGAGAATATTTGGTAGACACTCCACTGTCATTCAGCAGCTACTTTTCTAAAATTCCTCATTTGCTTCATATAAACGAGTCTGAATGCGCCAGTAATGCCAGCAGATCTTGCGTTGAGCTATTTTCAAAGTGGTGACAGCATCAGAGATTCCACAAGGGCATGTTGTGTTGCACACTGGCTTCAATGGCTTAAAATCTGCACTTTCTGCATGTGAATCATGATAATCACGGTAACCAGTGCTATAAAACAGCACACAAAAACAAAACACAGAAGCACAGCGCTATTCTTGCAAGTTATTATATTCCCACTAGGCGAGAGCAAGTAATCAAGTGCACAATGCAAGATGCCACGCGTACGATCCCGATTACGTCCAAGCGTATAGATGTTTATGCTGAATCGGAAAGACAGCGAGCGCGTCGCCGCCATTCTGGACATAGATATTGGAAAACAAAGTCCGTCCACGACCTTAGAGAAGTCAGAAGAATGCAAAAAAAATCAGCTTCGTATGGACAAGTTAGCCTCTGAATGGTGGAGGACATTTTGTCAGACGACAGAACCACCACAAGCCCCTACCTCACATCTGCAGAACGGTGAGCGGTCTTCATTGCATTCCTGAACAGCATTTTCCGTTCCAGGCGCTGGCGCTTTCTCAAAAGCGGCAATACATTGATGTCACAGACACTTTTGTGCAAGGATAGAAGACCAAGAGACCGCCTGCATGTTATGGCCAGAAGTGACGTCCCCACTTCTCGTGACAGCCACATGGACTTTCCTTTAACGACAGAGGAGCCCTAGGTGGCACTAGCCTTATACAGGCGTTTCTCATCACAGGGTCCAGACGTTATTTCGAGCCCTGAGCAATATGGGTATGGCAGCGCTGGTAGAGATGTTACGTTTGTACAGCGCATCCCGGCAAGAAGGAAGTGTTCTGACAAATGAAAGACACGTCGTCTAGTACCACTTCCAAAGCCACAGAAGTGTTCACTTTAACTTGCCTGGTACCGACCTACCGCGTCGGCCAGCGGCGCGGGAAAGATAATGGAATGGATGATCCTTCACCACCTTGAATGGTAGTACCTCGAACATTAAAAGATTTATACAAACTCTATGGCTGATTTTGGACGTGATCGCTCATCTATCGATAACGTAATTGATCTCGTCACATACGTCCAACAGAAGAAATTTCGCAAGCGCTTGTCTGCAGCCTTGTTTCTAGACGTAAAAGGCTAATAGAAAGCGCAATACACGCAGGAATTCTCGATTCCCTCGAGATGGTTGGCCTGGGTGTTCAAATTTTTTGACGGATTACTTGCTACCTGTGAGCAAGATTATTATTTGTATCAACGGACGAGTTCCCAATCACTTGGCGCTAAACATGTGAGGGCGTTCCTCAGGACGGAGTATTAAGCCCTCCTCTATTCAATCTGGCACTTTAAAGCTTTCCGAATATTTTCCTTGTAAGATCGCGATATCTATATACGTAAACAGCATATGCGTCTGGACATCAGCCGTCACACGACCCCAGATACGAGCGAGGCTTCAAAAAGCTCCAACTATGACAGCGAGCTACCTCGGCGAACAAGGACAGAAAATTTCCCCGGAAAAATGTTAAGACATGCTTGGTGTAGTTGGTGATTGGGAATCAACATAGTTGCACAGCGCAAGACTATGAGTAGTTAAGACGTAACTACAGAAGAAAAGACAAGGACAGAAAGACCGTTCTTTCTGTCTACGTCTCTTCTTTTGTAGTTATGTCGTAACTTCTCGTAGTCTTGCGCTGTGCAAATATGCGGGAAAATGTACTTTAGTGGCGTTCACACAAGCCAATGACGCACCAAGACAATTCTATTAAAGGGTGGACCATAACTTTTGCCCAAAGCCACAAATCAATGAGTATATTCATAGACAGAGACCTACGTTAGAGGCAGCATTTGCGTCACATAAAACAGGTTCTCCCATCCATCTCCCAGTTGTTTTACTACCTGTGTGGAAAAACCTGAGACATGTCGATGGAAGAAATGCTGCAACTGTACATGTCACTGTTTCTCGAATTTTTGCTATACAGTCTGCCCCTAGTGACTGATACTTGTAAGACAAATATGTACTCTACAGACAGTAAAAGCTCAGGCTCTCACAGTTTCTTTTGGCTTGCCAAAGATGGTATGAAGAAATGCAGGGAGGTTTACCGGAAAGCAAGTATGTGGTTTGCTACCATGCACTGCGAAAGGGTTAATGAGAGACCGAAAAGTAAGGAAAATAGAATCAGAGAGAGAGAGAAGATTTCGGCTTGGCTAAATGCACGTCGACTGATGCGACTATATATATTGCACGGGAACAACACATACAAATGCACATTGCAGAGAAAGCCTCGAGAGCTCATGTCAGGCATTCTTCGTGGGCTCATTACCACCACCTTGCCACACTGCTTGAAGAAAGACCACGGGCGTTGTATCAAGCAATCATTTCAAACTGTGTTGCCCACAATCGTCGGGCTTCAGCCCCATGACTAAGCCAGCGATACCTCTATGGGGCTTCATCCGATTTGATGTGAACTTCAATGTACCGGAAATCAGGAAAAAGTCTGAGCTCTCTTCACCAGTGCTATTGCATCTATCAGTCTTCTGCGCTGATCACTTACATATCTATACTGATGGGGTAACGTCTCTGCAGTCTTCGTACGGAGCCGTGGCAGTGCCAGCGAAGGTTATTACCGTCAGTTTCAAGACCGACTACCCAACATGATCGACAGCTGCAAAATTTGCTGCTCTTTGTGCTACACTGCACGTACTCAACCGCGAACAGTCTTAACGATGGTCAGCCTTCAGTGATTCGAGACAGCTTTGCAACCGATGTTGTCAGGCCTGTGTTACGGACTATGCCAGCAATTGGTCTTCAAGTTTGGGCATCTGCTTCACACTGCATTACAGGAAGGACACCGCGTGACATTTCAGTGGCTGCCAAGTATCTGCGGCGTGATAGGCGATGAAAATGCCTAGATTGTTGATCAATTAGCTCACCAAGGGGACATGGTAGAAACAATACCCCTATTGAAGACCAATGCTGCAACCAATTTCGAGTGGTCGCACAAGAAGTCACTTGGAATCCAGCAAGTAGGCGGCGCGATCAGCACCACTACTGCCCGAACACTTTACGTCTTCAGACTGTTACTGGACGACGTTGAAATGATGTCACTCTGATTTGTCGTTTATGGCAGAGAGTGGCTTTCACAAAGTCATTGTCTTTTCGAATCCAAATAGCTGACAAACTTTTTGCGTCAACTATGTTAGCAAAGAGACATTCCAGCACGTCGATTAGCAAGTGTGACTATGTGTGCGTGCTCACTCCCCTCCTTTTTTATCAATCTTCAAAACTCCGTTCCCTCTTTCCCCGGTAAAGGGTAGTATACCAGTCCTTCTATAGTGATTAACATCCCGCCTTTCCTTTC